CCTCCACGACTGGTGTTACTGCCCATTCGAGTCGCTCTCATCATACGGACGGTGCCGTTGCTCATTCAAGTCGTTCTCATCACGCGACAGACGCCGCAACTGCCTCTGTCACCGCTGCTCATTCGAGTCGCTCTCATCATACCATGGATAGCGCCGCCGCCACTGCTACTGTTGCTCATTCGAGTCGTTCTCATCATGCGCAACAGGAGAAGCAAGATGAGAAGAAAACTGGAACTATTGCAGGACCATCAAGAGCAACCGCAATAGATTATCGAGAATATCGTGAGAAGAAAGAACGAGAGCGTTTAGAGCGGGAAAAGGCAGCTGCCGCTATTGGGTGCCATATCACCGATCCTAACAAGACCTACCATTCGCATCATCATAAACCAGTATCGAATGCAAGTATGCCGAACAAGCACCAAATGCCATCTGTGCAAAAGGGCACTGGCCTTCATCATAATCATCATCATCGGCCGGATATGAAAGTCGGTCAACCAGTACAGAGACACTCTACTGGTAATCAACCTAATCGCGATCCCAACAGGCAACGATTGTCAAGAGAACACAACGCTGGTGTGGCCAGCACAAGCGGTATTACACACTCGCATTCTCACGCCAATTTAGATAGTTCCTCGTCCGAATCCGTGCCTCATAGGTCGGACAGTGGTGCTGTGCAGGATTCCGCATCCTCACATAGTACTTTACAGGAAAAGATGAGTAATAATCACAGCGGACATAGACTGAATGCACTTGATAGCAAGCATCAGGCGCACGATAAGAGATTGTACCGAGGGGAGGATCCAAGACTTAAATCTGCCAAATATGCAGATATGAATAGAATGGAGAATCAACGACGAAAAGCAGAGACATTGGAGCAGAGATGTGAGGAGGTGCGGAAGCTGATCGAAAAACCATTGCCGCCGCCAAAGCAGGCTGATATACCATATCTGATGAACGCGCAGCAGAAACAGCCGCATCATGCCAAGTACAATCAGCAGCAACAGGACAAAGGCAGCTCATTCACAGGTGAAATGAAGCATGCGTCAACTACTAGCCAGAATGCTCTGCTACAGGGCACATCGCCAAGCACATCGTCATCACAGAAGCCAGCACCCATTAAGACACAGATGTATAGTCAGCATAGTGCACAGGGTGTATCCCAGATTCTGAAAGATACTATTAAAAATAGTAATTCCCAGTCTTGCCTAAGCACATTGAATAATATGGACGATATAAAGTCGGAGAAGCGATCACGATCAAATGTCCATGAGGAATTCGTTGAGAGGAATTCCGTCGATGTTCAACAGAGCAATCTGCACACACCACCTGGTAAGCATAGATCACTATTCAGCCCAGAGACTCCTATTGTGACCAGAGAATCGCACGCGCAAAGCGCAAGGCCTAAATCGAAACAAAAGACACCACCCTCTGCAGCTACGAAGCTGAAGGAACGCGTGTCACCGTTCGCGAGTTCCCCGAATTTGCAAGACTCGTCAACGATAAAACGACCATCTTCCAATGACGGCGCGGTATCCACACATAAGAGGACCCGTGCATCGAGTATCAGTGAGAACGAAAAGGTAGTAATAAAAACAGAAATCAAGACGGAAGATACAACCAGTTTGGAGGCAATGAAGATGCTCGGTCGCGTACCCGATCTGATCCAACCGATACGTGACAATCCGTCGTCAAACGGAAGGAACAGTAGCGCATCATCCGTCATTAACGATATGAAACCGCCAGAACTCATCAAACCGTTCGAGTCGGATCAGCCTCGTTTCAACACGATGTCGCAGCATAAAGTCTCGTTTAACGTCAATACACTAACTAATGGTATGGACCTCAACGTAGTAAAACAAGAGTCCTCGGAGCATCGCGTGAAAAGGGAATTTCCAGAGCATTATATAAAGAATGAACCATCAGGACATAGGGCTTTGGAACCAACGCATTCCCAGACGCACTCGCAGACGAAACTCGAGTACACGTCGCCGATCAAGTCTGCGCAGAGTATAAGCGCATTGCTCCAGGAGACACTGGCGCCGATGCCTTCACTATTGCAGGGACTGCAACAACCTAGCCAATTACCCACTCAAAAGGTGCATCAAGAACAATTGCAGCACCAGCAACAGCAGCATCGGTTACAGTCTATTCAACATTCGTTGATGGATCAATTACCAGTGACGACCCAGTGTTTGTCGATAGCGAGCGATAATTTCACGCCGATAGCTTCGACCGTAGATATCAGTGTTCTTTCCGATAATGTATCGATGACGCTGCCAAGTAATAGTAATGTGGTGGAATTGGCAGTGCCAGCAGCTTCCACGGTAACGATTGTTCCTCCAGTCGAAGAGAAACGGTCGGAGCATCATAAGAGTGAAAAGAAGAAAAAGAAAGAAAAACACAAGCGCAAGGACAAGAGTAAGGATAATAAGCATAATAAGCATAAACACAAGGGAAAAGGTAAAGAGAAACATCGTGAGAAAAAAGACAAGGAAAAGAGCGAGGAGACCCCAGCGGCAGCGCCCATCAAAATTACGATTCCTAAGGACAAACTGAATCTTGGCATGGAAGCATCGCCGACCGTGGTCGGCGGAGGTCCCAGCATGTCGGACAAAACTATATCGCCACAGAGCACGGGCCTGAAAATCAAGATCCCCAAGGAACGACTCAAGGGCACCGATAGTGTACCGAGTTCATCTCCTGCGCAGCCACCGATGATGCAAGGTCCGCTAAAGATCAAGATACGTACTGATCTCGGCATCTCGAGGAGTTCCGCGCAGCCGCCGCCGTCGATGTCATCGTCGTCGTCGTCGAACGGCTCGAGCGGATCCTCATATCTGCAGCTCTCTGAATCATCCGCGAACGAAACTACGAGTCGGAAACGCGAGCGAGTCGAGATGATCGGCGACAGCTCGGGCAGCAGTGGCCTTCCGCCCACGAAGAAGCAAGCGATGATGATACCTGCAACGGGTTATGGCCAGGGCCACCGACCCGGAGAACGGCAGAATGGCAGACACTATAACTCCGGCAGCAATAATAAGGTACGTGGAAGAGGCGTCCGTCAGCATCACGGCGGTCGCGGACCACCACTACATCATGCAGTTGCCGGTCAGCGCGGTAACGCTGGTGGTCACTACCAGCGGGAGATTTATGGTAATGGCCGCGGTAACCACGGTAATCGCGGTCATCAACATCATCAAGCCCCTTATAATTCCCATCATCCCCCGGCCATTCGCGGCGACGTCGGCGGATACGCGAGAGGGACTGGTCAAGCTGATCAGGGCACAGATTCTTATTTTTATACTAATTATCATACATCAATATTTAATACATCTACCGGGTACGTGTACGATCCCGCCTATCAGCAGTACTACCAACAATTTCACCAACAGTCCCAATACTCGATGTATCCGACAGGAAATAACCTAATAATGACGCCGGACGGTACCATCAACACGTCGGTGCCACCGCCGTCATTGCTCCCAAATCAACTTTATCAGAATCAAAATATCGTACAATCGGCTGTGTCCACCCGGCAGGAAGATATACAATTGTTGCCTCCACCGCCTCTTCAACCACCACCGTCGCCTCCTCCCCTGCCGAGTGGACCGCCACCTCCGCCGCCTCCACCACCTCCTCCGTCAATGTCGGAGTGATGAGACCTTTCAATTTACATGTATATATATATGTACATATTACATATGTATGTATGTATTGTATATTTACATATATATTTTACGTGTATATATATAAATATAAGTATATATACATATATTTTTTTTACATATAAAATATTGGGTTGTTCTGAAAATTTGTAGCGAAATTTGAGAAAAGTTTTAAAGTAATGTGTTTATACAGAATAGTACTTTTTTATCATGATTTGTTTCGATAACAGATAATTTAATAGAACATTTTGCATCTTCCAGAAAAAATGACCGCTTTGAAATGAGAAAGTCACGCGTAATGCTTTTATCGATATCCATATAAACAGCATATATCTTTTCGAACTACGCAATACTTTTACTCTGGCAGTAGTAAAAAAAAACATTACATGCCAAAAATGCTCTTTCTTATTTTACATCTTTTGAACGTCATTAAACGAATACAAATTCAATAATTTTGATACTTTTGCTTTGAAATGATACTCAGGAATTTTTGTCTTTTAAGACTATGGTGCACAAAAATAGAAGCAAATCCTTTTGAATTTGCTACTTACATTATTGCCTTGTGATCTTTACTATGATTTTACACATATACATACACACACACATTTACATTAAAAAAAAATATATATATAATCATAGTAAAATAAAATGTTTATATATATACTTTATTGTGATTGTAAGAAAGTACAATTCGCACGTACTGCTTATGCCTTATATTTTTCTGAATGGCTCTTAAGTACCTACTATTACACTAGTAGCATTATAAAATACATATACAAACAGCATTTAAAAAAATGATTGCTAAGAATCGATGACAATATCGATTGAACACTACGAATTCCGAACAAACCAATATATTTATACATATGTAAAGAATTTATCTGCATATAGTATTTGCAATTAAATCAAGTTATAGATTTATGTTAAATATATATACATATTTTTTTAAACTTCAATCTCTAGGATTGCCTCCTTTATCTGTGTATATATTTTGTAATAATTATTAGCTAAACAGACGTATTTTTCTTTAAATAATCAAGTTTCTGTTACCACTACGACGATGCAAAACTTTGCTTCGTTTTATGGAGAGATATTTTTATTCTTTTTCCCTTTTCTTTCTTAAGATCACTATACAGTTTATATCTGACGAAGGAAATAGTTCAAGAAACTATTAATTTACATTCACTGAAAGATATTTTTTTCGTTTTCTATCTTTTTTTTATCGCGTAGCATTTTTAAGTAAAACAAAGTGCTTTGGAAGCGATTAAATTTTATAGATTCGTATTTTTATTTGTAAAGCATTCATTATCGAGTTCTGATGAAATTATTTAGTTTTCACATATAATATAGCTTATAATGTAATGAAAAAAAGATGTTATAGACATAAAGTTCAATGATGAATCATTTTTTAGCTATAGTGTATCAAAAGTGCTTTATGAGCACAAGTTTTACACCATAATTCAAAAATTATTGAACCTTGTGTCTATGGTATCTTTCATTCATCACATTATAAGTTTTATATGTGAAAACTAACTTATTTAACCAAGATTTAATTTTTCATGTAATTAATATGGGATTCTTATACATATAGATGTATATAATTTCTTTCTCTTATATGTAATAATAAAAAATTACATAAATAATTTACCAAAATTATTAAAAAATTCATGAAAAATATAAAAAGATATACATAGGAATATAATGCCTTCAGTAACATGAAATTCTCTATATATGTAAATATATAGTATTTTTCTGTGTGTAAATAAACTCAAATTGGGAAAAATACATTAATATTTTTAAACTATATATATATATATATATATGTAAATAATAAAAATATATACACTTTTAAATGTGTGTATATATATATATTTTATAAATTCGTATACATATATGTATACATATATTTTTTCTTACACTACTGGATTGAGTGTTGAAATTTAACGCAAGTCCTTAATCGTTCTCTGAGCCTAATTTCTAAATCCATGAAAATATTATTAATTTTTGTCTTTCCCTTCGATTTTACGGATTAGTTTAGTAGAAATAGCAGCATGAGTCGTACCATTTATTCTTTATCACCTGATTGCTCGATCGGTTCTTTTTTCCGTACATATCGTATATATATAATATCCAACTGTAGAAAATTTTAATTCAATATAACATCTTGTTCCAATGCTTTGATTCTATCGTAGTAAAACGGCGTTCAATTCGAAACAAATCGTTATCGTAAGAATATCAATCCGATAATGCAATCTGAGTTATAGATATTCGCATGAAAATCTGTGCAAATGTATAAAATCAATAATGTGGAATTTTGTACAATCCTCGATGAGTTGCATACAACGATTTCATGAATCTTAGTTCAAGTTAAATATAAGTGTTTGTGTGGGATCAATCTATGCATAATGATAAAAGCTATTGATATTATAATAATACAAAGTGTTTACGGTATTGTTTCGAAGCATCGTTATTTATTTCCTTTTAATTTCTCTTTTCAACACAAAGTTTGTACTTTTCCACTTGTAGCCAGCATGATCTACGCATTGTAAGAGTTTGCTATAGAAATACACCTGCTCTTGCTTGCTACTATTTTCCTTTTTATATGTAGTGCCTAAAAATAATAAGAAATAATAATTAATAAATAACTAATTTATACTATAAATTAAAAAAATAAGCTACAATGGATTTATCCTTAAAATTTGTGAAGGATTTGTATTTAATTATGATAAATTTTTTTATCAACGATATTAAATCCTCTGAGATAAATTATATATTTTTCTTCTCGTGAACTTAAATACATTTTGGAAATGCTATAATTATTTCATTTATCTTTAAAATTTGCATATCATTTTTCAAGATCTTTAAAAAATTTCCTGTACCCCTTGATGAGTCTGTTTAAAAAAAACCATATTTTTTTATGTGCTAATCGAAATCTCCGGTATTTTCGCGATTAGTTCACTTTTTTTTTGCTCTAAAAGAGAGAAATAAAAATATTAGTCAAGAAATAGGAAATTTTTTGAAAATCACAACTTTCTTCAAAGTGTCTGTATGCGAGATATTCTTGTAGGCTTCTTTATCTCTATATACAATATGTCGCTTAATAATTATATATAATAATTAACTGTTGGACGTATAAGAGTCTTAGGGAAAACATTAAGTTCATAGAAGAGGAAAACCACGTAAAGCTCCAGAAGAGGGACACTGCCACGTGTGATAGACGAAGACATGGTGGAGAAAGCGATATGATTTTCTATTGGCGTCAGTTATACCTGAAAGACTATTATCCGCGAAGATACAAGTCTCTGCTATTAGCGAATAGTGAGGAGTATGTGTAGTACTAGCCTAGGGAGGTAAGCGATTATGTTTACGAATCGTTTCGATTACATAAACATGGCCTTATCCGAAATTATTAATGATTTTGATTAAATTTTGTGTATGTTACTCTCGAACACACGATGTGAGAATTTTTTATAGAATAAATATTAACTCAGGAACTTCGCATCGGATTAAATTAAAATGCGATCGATATATATTACGTTCAGAATATATTTTCTAAGAGTGTATGCTATGTATACGTATGTGCACACATGTATACAGCATTGTTTAAGAAATGTATAGTATATAACGTGCAGAAAAATAGTATTATATCGGAATCGTGAATGTCATTGTTAATCATTATATTGTCACGATTACCATCGCTGTTTTCACACGTGCAAACGACTGATTTGTGAAATGCAGAGAATCTATGATTAAGAACTTAGTTGATAATTTCATTTAATAATATAGTCGATGTTTTATGTATAGTTAAATAATCTTTCTTTCCCGTGTGAACTCAAATACGCTTTGTCAAGTGCAACATATTACTGTTGCTGTCTTTGAAATTTGTAATAGAAAAATATATATTATATATATATATAATTTAATCTAAATCCTTATCCTAACTTTCGTGTAGAATCTAAATTAAGAATGGAAGAGAGCTTCGAGATAATAGCAAAAAATATAACTTTTCAATAAACACATTGCAAAAGATTAACGTAAAACGGGAAGATAATGAACAATTTTATATTTTTATATATTGGAAAAAACCATTGTCCCCAAAGTTTATGATTAGTCATTAGTAAAAGCCTCAGTTCTTATTCAAATTGTAAAAACTAAAAAAAAGTTGCTTAGTTCTTTTGTGGATATTTTCAAAACATTTTTTTGCCATCTTTACTTAATTCAGCTTTACCCTAATGCCTAAATTAATTTAACTTTATATTACTACTAATTACATTTTTGTCCGTATTTTATCACTTATTCTAAACTTATCATTTGCATTCTACATACTCCCGTTTTCTTTAAATGTATATATATTTCCTTTCTTCTAAATCTCTTTTCTGTGCAAACTTGCCTCGTCATCACTACTTTTGTTATCCCTTTTCTCGTGAACTATAATACATGTATATATGTTAAATATTTTTCTGATATCCATGTTATATTTGACTTGTGATAACTATCGAAGCTTACACGAGACGAAATTATTTCTAGACATATGTACTTTTAAATACGGTTTTTCTCACCGTGTGTTTACATAGCCAGAAATGTGTCAAATTTATTAAAGACCATTAGTATGTGTGTGTGTATATGTATATATAT